AATATAATAGTCAAAATGAAGTTATAGGAATTATTTGTAGTTTATGTGAAAAAAATTATGCAAAAAAATCATCAACACGACCACTTATGGATCATTTAACAAAAGAACATAGTAATATTCTTTCTACAACAAATCAATTACAAAAACCATATAAAGAAAATGATAATAAAAGAATAAAAGAATGTACAGATGCTGTTATTAATTTTATTGTTGGGTTTCAAATACCATTTTCAGTTGTAGGAAATTTTTACAAAATCAAATTTATCAAATATTTGAAAATCATCATAATTTAATTGCGTGTATATGTATATTATATTATATTAAAAATCGTTGTTTAAAATTAACCACTCACATTTAAAGTATGTGATCAACAACGGTTATTAAAATTGACCAATCAGATCTTAGTATATGAATGACAAACCACGGTTCAAACTGGTCTAACACGGTTTTTAAACCGAACCGAACCGACTCAACCATTTAACATCCCTATTCAAATTTAAATATTTTAACTGCACATATTTTTAGTCACACATATGTAGTGTAACATGAGACACGCCCTCCCGCCCCTCCTATCAGTCGCAGGACATTGCGGATCTACAGGGGGTCAAGTGTCACTCACTAATAAAAAATTTTTGATCAACACGGAATTTTATATGAAAAAATGAAGAAAAAAATCACGCTTTCATACACAAACTTGCCTGATTTAATCAAATTGTTACTTTGATCATAAAAAATAACAAATATATGAAAAACCCTTTATTTTGATGTATTTTTTGCCAGGGTAAACAAATACCACTAAGTGATAATCTTAACATGAAGTTGGACTACCAGTTCTATAAGTTCTATAATAATAATAATAAATTAAGAAATCGGATAACATGCACATTTTCAATCTTTGGGCTTAATTTTTTTACATAATAATAATAAATGCAATAGTTAAGTTCTAATTTCCAATCTTTAAATGTTTATTTTTTTAAATTGGGGTATACTGCAACAAAACCAGACAAAGTGAACATTGGTGTTACCAAGATTTCAGGGTTCAAAATTTAGTCATTTGTAATGTGATTATTATTATCTCTTAAACAGTTTTTCGGCTATTGATAGCCGAAATTTTTTTTCTGATATAAAAAATTTTTTCTGAGGGTATTACTTCCTAATACGAAAATGATCTTTGGGATTTAACCGATTGATCTATAAATAAAAACCTGGTTGTTATCCTTGTGGTTTTCGTAAAATTTTCTTTAAAAGTTGGTCGATTGACTGTTTTTACTTTGCTGATCGTTAAATTGACCAATAAGAATGATCGAAACTTTAATTTGTGTTACATTAGAGATACTCTGACCGTTTAAGAGATAATTATCAGTTTTATAATATCCCATTTGTTATCTTCAGTGATATATAGAATTACCTCTATATAAAAATAGTTAATATGAAACTCATTTACATCCGATCTACCATGGAACCCAAGAATTATAGTACAATCAGAAGTATTTTGAAGAAAGAACAAGGTGAAAAAATAGCTCCTTATGTTTTCAAAATAAATGTCACTGGAAGCTTATCTAAAAAAAAGGGATTACCTATGAAATTTACCAAGAAGAAAGAAAAATAATAAATGTTAAAAAAGAAAGCATCATGATGATGCATTATTACCTAATAAAGAGCAAAAATCTTTGAAAAGAAAATAACTAACATTTTCTTTGATAGTTGGAATAAATTTCAATTTATAAGAGGAAGGCATTTCCTCAATTCTTTTTAAATTACTTTTTTATTTCAATCAAGATCATCTTTTAGTCTCTTTGACTTCAATTTGTTTTCTTTATTTTCTTCACTAATAAAAAAAAAAGTTTATAATTAACTAGAGTGACAACAAGTGGCAACAATTGCAATAACCACCAATCTTTATATATAAACTAGAGTGATGACAAGTGGTGGCAATAACCACCACCATTGTTAAAACACTTACCCATGTTGCTCTTTCCCATCTTCTTGATTTCTCTTTCTTGATTCTTTATGTGTCATTTTGTTATTAAAAGAATCATGTAAACAAAATTAAAAAAACAATAATTAACATGATATTATTATTGACACTTGGTGTTGTACAAAGATTTTTTTTTGGAACATATGCGAACTGATTTTTCTTTTCTTGGAAAAACAATCTAAGGTGACAAAACATGAGCATTGTTGTTTGGTTTGGTTTGGGTCTCCTAAAGAAAATGTGTTGATAACTACCCTGAGGTACTTTTTTTTATTTGTATTGATATTTTTATTTTAGTTTATAAATATTTTAATTGGAATCAAAATGCAGAGCAGATCTTGCTGGGCAATTATAAGATTCTTATCAAGATGATAATAAATGATTGGTATTTTGCTTTGCATAATTGTAATAATAATATTATTATTAATATATAATTACAAGAAGATGCCAAGGCAATATACAATTTAAAAAGAAACAATTCAAATGTGCAATGTTTGATTATTGGAAATTTTATAGATGCTAAAGCACACACACCACCTTAGGGATGGGGCAGTTTAAAAAACCCAGTTCAAACTTGATTTTTGAACCAGTTTTTGGTTTAGGTTTTAAACTGGTTCGAATCAGTTTTTTGTGAAACTAAAATCTCTACGTTTATTGGCCAGGTTATTATATCACGTGAAAATGTAATACGAAATATTATTATTATTATTATTATTATTATATTGATTTTAATTTGACGTCAAGTTGCTCCAAACAAATACTATTCTATGGTAAAACAGGGGGAGTTGTGCATTGTAAATAATTTAAATTTTTTTTATATGTATTACATATTTCTAATCAATTTTAAATTAATAAATGTCACAACAAGATTATGTTAAAAAAAAAAAAAATTATACTGATTTTAATTATTATGTTGAAGATGTAAAAGGATAGCTATCCTTTTTATATTAGTTGAAAATGATAAACAAGATGAGTAGGTGCCATGATTATACATGAGATGGTAATTATTTTGCCAAAAATCAATTACAAATGACGAAATTAAAGGACATCTCGTTATACTAGTATAATGACATAATTTGTCAACTTTTTATAATTTATTCTGTTATAATGTGAGATCAAAATTCCGCATCTCACACAAATCTCTTGGATTTAGTTATAATATTATTTATCCCTTCCTATGGCAGTATCCAGTTGTGTAATTCTTTGATTACTTTCTTTTCTGTATAGCGCTCAAGCTATTTAACTCTTTGCAGGGCAAGTTTTCTTACTTCCCGTCCAGTAACGTTTTCTCAGCAGTTGCTATGTTTTCTGCCTGAGCCGGAACGTGTCAATTATTATCCCTTCTGATAATAATC